ATTAGCATCAACAGCCGCCCACAGCATTGCAAGGCTCGCCGGTCATACGCCGCTTACGTTGAATCCATCCCGGAGTTGCGTTTTCATCACAGCGTCAGCGGTTCGCTCGTTTCGTCGGTTCAGGCTTACGCCGAGCAAAGCAACCTACGGACTTGTGGTTCTCACAAGACGTCACTACATCACGCGTTGTGGTCCTGCTCCTTTAAGGAGGTCTGAGAAGTCCGGCCCTTCGGGCACAACTGCGATACTCGTCTTTGCAGGCGCACATGTCGGTAATGCATTGCCTCCTTTCTGGAGAGGCAGCCCCATGCGCCCTCCCTTTGGCACTTAGTCGACTGTAATCTTTTTAGACCCTCACGTCCTAGGCCTTTTTGCTTGGGCTCTAGGTCCCATTTTTTCCACATCCAAGCCTCTTCAGTCCTAGTGGAGACATTACGGTTGTGGAAAAGGAACACGCTGTCACCCGCGCCGAGGAAGTCTGAAAACACCTAACTATACAGGACCCCCGCAAGTTGTCCTGTGCTACATTCCACAATACAAGAACGCTGCATAACATGAAACACCTATTCCATTTCCCCTAAGCCACTTACACATTTTATCAAGTAATAACACAAGATCTCCCACATGGCAGGAATACCGCTTCCCCGCTGCGCCTCTTCCAGAAACCTGAATTCTGAGTCCTTCCAACTAAGCTGACCTCCCCAAAGTCTATCATATACCCCCTATGGTTGCCGTCATTCTCTTATGTCTGCATTCAGTATCCTAGGCACCAATCCAGGTTCACGGGTCGACTGGACTGAAGGAACATGTGGCGCTGACGGCGGTGTGGCACCCATGACTACTTCCATTCTTCCATTTTCCCAGAAGAACCAGAGAACACGCAGGAGGTCCGCGCCTCCTGCGAGAAAGGTCAGCTCGTGTGATCCTACCCAACTTGGCATGGCTGACCTGCAGCACACGTGCCGCTCGTTTGCAGTCACGGTCTCCGTCAGACAAGTAACAAACTCGGGTACCGTCGGGAAGTCCCCAATGATCATTCCACGTGTAACTGCCCTAGAGACCGATGACTAGAGTCCAAATGGGAAAGCGTCATCTGCTCATTGCAATGGGCTTGCTCTGGGTTAGGGTCTTGTGTGACGAGAACCTGGTCACGCACTGACCTGTTCTGCCTAACGACCGACATGAAAGAACTGCACCAGCACACCGACAGCTGACCTGCCTTTGTCTGCAATGCCCGAGTTTTCTTCGTCCTTTCCGGATGAGTGTAGATTTGCTACTTCTTATTATTCTAGTCCTATGGATGATCCATCAAAAGCAAGCCGAAATGTCTAGAATAAAGGATGCAGTCTGTCCAACAAACGGCGTGTTACGAGATGTCTTAAGGAGCAGCGTCCTGTCCTGGTCGGTCATTGCCTCGAAATACACAACTGCATCAGACGGCCAACAAATCATGTCCAAATGCCTTGAGACTGAGAGACTGCTCGACACAGCCTTGTTCCCAGATCACCCTGCGTTCCCACCACGCCTTACACCCAAGGAAGATGCCAATTGTCACTCAGCACACAGTATCTCAACATGGGACGCGGGCCAATCATGCACTGAGCTAGGAGAACCGTTCTACCGCCACATTCGCATCCCTGTCTCCACATACGAGCAGACAAAGATCAACTGGGCCCGTGACTTGACCTGGCCGTGACCAACAGAGGCAGAAAACTACTGTCCATTTAGGGAATGTAAGCGCAGAAGCAGCGGGATGGTGGGCAGCTGTCCTGGCCCCGGGCGCCGAGGGATGGGTGGCGGGTATCAGCACGCAGGAGCAGGGGGGTGTTGCTTTCACCTTGGTCTATCCAGACTCCGGCGCTGGGAATCTTTGCCATTTGCTCGCATACACAACTGCCAGAATTAGCTGACCGAAAGGTAGCATCCTTTGCTGATGCATGTCGCTACCTCTCCGACTCCTGTCATTTCCACAGCCTGGGAGCGGAGCGGAGTCTAGTGGCGTTGTCCGCTGTTTTGTGTTTTCCGTTGTGTAGTTGGGAAAGCTGGAGAATCGACTTACCCCTTCCCCGGATCTCTACCCCTGCATCAACAGCATCACAGCCGGATTGTGAATGTGATCAACATCAACAGCAGCAACACCAACAGCTCCAACAACACGCCCCGCCAGTATCAACGCTAGACAAACTGCTCGTACTAAGCTGCAACTACCTAGGCCTTTCGGCACTTTTGTGCTCGGCACATTCTTCGGCCCATCTATCCCCTGCACCCTCGTCAGCCCTTATTTGCAAGGGGCTTTTGCTGTGCTGGATAACAACAAAGACCGTCATGCATTGGCAAGCATTCTCATGACCCGAAACCCAGACCTTTTTTTTTTTGGGTTCGGGCAATGATGTCCGGGGCAGGTGAGGCGGTGCTGCAGAGGGCAAGAGGTGGCCGCTGCGAGATTGAACTGCATTCAGCTGTCTGGACGAATACGCTTCAGACGTTTATCCAGCAACCTGTCTCCCAGCCCGCGTCTACTACACAAGGGTGTGTTGAGCGGGCTGACGAGGCAAGACTACTAGTATTGTTTCTCGCGTCCGACGACTATATCGGATCGCAAAACCAAAAGTACTTCCCCATGTCACCTTGGAAGCCATTCGGTCACACAGCGCTGGAGGATTTGAATCTAGAGGTTAGCCTGCAATCTGCATGCACATTGTTCTGGCGAGCATGGATTGAGGTATAGAGAGGGTTTAACTGGGACACACATCCTGCTGAAACCAGCGCACAAGCCGATCCGGACCTCATTCAAACATACTCGCTACTCCACCGCCAAAAGGAGGAGATGGTACATGTCCCATACGACAAATTCGATCCAGAAGATGACGCCGCCTCGTCACACGCAACCGCCGACGCCTTTAGATGGCTGCGCCGGGGCGGGTTCCCTGCTTCTGAACAACCTATCCGACATCATGAATGGGCGGCCTGGTATTTCGATGAAGAAGAAGAGGAAGGATGCGAGTCGTTATGGACGAGCGATGAAGAGGAAAGGATACAAAAGAAGTCGGACCAAGTCAAATAACATTTATGATTCTGTGAGACAACTCGCTTGGCAGACGGACTCTAATGGCCAATTAGCTGCTCATCTTACAAAACCCCCAAACACCTATTTTCCTTTCCCATCTCTCCCAAGATATCTATTATATAGCGTTCCTGAGCTGTTGACCAGCAAGAAACCTCCTGAGGTTATCCACGATCAATGCTTCCGACCCCTGCGGCCGGCCCCCCGCCGCATGCGGCGACACGATGCAGTTGGGCGCCTTCCACAGCTTGCTCTCCCGGGGCAGGGGCTCCACCTCGAACACATCCAGCGCCGCACCCCCGATTGTCCCCTCAGTGAGGGCGTTAAAGAGCGCGTCCTCGTCCACCGACGTGCCACGGCCGACATTCACGATCCACGCGTGCTTGGGCATTAAGGCCAACCGCGCCGCGTTGAGCGCGTGTTTTGTGGACGGGTCTCCTGGCAAAATCATGACCAACGCATCGGTCTGCGGCAGCAACTCTGGCAGCTTGTCTTCCCCATAAACCTCGATCCCGTCCCTCACACCTTGCCGGCGGGCTACCCCGCGGACGGTCGATCCCAGAGCGACCAGGTGCGGAGCGAGCGATTTAGCAATGTTGCCAAAACCCCAGATCAAAACCCGCGCGTCCCGCAGGGTGGTGAATGATCCTGCAGGGCGATCGGGTTGCGGGCCGCCCAGATGGCCGGGCCACTTTCCCTGCAGCTGGTAGTCGCGCATCTCGTAGAACCGTCTGCACGCGTTCAGCAGCAACCCGAGGGCGTGCTCGGCCACGGTCCGATCGTGCAAGCCCGACCCAGTGGTCACGGCGATTCGGGAGGTGTCGAAGCCGGCATTGATGACGTCGTTGGGGCCCGCTGCTAGGCTCTGGATCCAACGCAGGTTCTTCATCCTGCCTGCGGCGTCTTTTAGGTTTGAAGCGCTGTTGGTCCATGTGATCAGGATCTCGGCGTCGATGAGGTCTTCGGGGATTGGTGTCTTCACATCGTAGGGGTGCAGCGTCAGGGTCGGGAAGCCCTCTATGCTGCTGATGTCGAGCGCCAGTGATGTGGGGTACAGGAGTTTCATCGTGGTGGGAGTATGATTATTGGGAGAGACTGAGAGGTGCGATTGAAGGGCGCTGAGGAATTGCGTCGCTGGTGTCCTCATTTATAGATCTAATAAACCAAACCACCACGGCGGGGCAGTGACAGAGATATAGTAATAGTATGTGTGAGCAGCACGCGGGGTGGGTTGAATCATCACCCACACACGAAGAAAACCAGGCCGAAGGAAACCGCACGGGCCCGTTCGACCGGTGTCGGAGCAATCCCCGTGGGGCGGGTGACTTTCTCCGCAGACTCGGGGGAATGAACCCCGGGGATAAAAGGATCTGGCCCGGAAGGTTGGCCACCCAATCAGCAGTTTCTTATTGAGCAGCATTCACATTTGCACGAGATTTATGGTTCGAATTTGTGACAGAGTGGAAGATTTGAACAGCACAGCAGGCGCGGGGCCCCATGTACCGGGTGCTGCAGTGTCCGCTGATTTGACTTTGACCTGATCTTGGACTGCCGCGACTTACCAGGGTCGTGATGTCGAGCGGCCCGATCGGACGGTTTGCTCGATCGTCGATCGGGTTTACTTACTCGATCCGTCAAAAGGGTGGCTTCAAGCCCGACCCTGTCCGGTGACTGGTGGAAATGGCGACAAATACTCAAACAGTGACAAAATGGAAATAGTTACAGTATTTACACAAAAGACGACGCGGAGTGCGTGACAATCATGTGCATCTATAGAATGCGACAGGAACAAACTCGTCATTCTATCAGAAATCATGCTTCTCCGGTTGTTGGATTCCCGCCACCGATAACTACTTGATGCCCAACTAGGGAAGAAAGCAAAGGTAATAGCTATGTCCTATATGAAAGAAAAACACGACACGCCACTTCAGCAACAGGGATAATAGTATAGTGGTCAGTACTTCTCGTTGTGGTGTCTCAGTGGGCCACAAATCCGAGAGGACCCAGGTTCGATTCCTGGTTATCCCATCGTATCGCGTCTCAAAAGACCTAACTTTTTACATCTCTATTCTATCTATTCGTCTTCGCATGGTTGGAGCATGATAGCAACCAACATAATGGAAACTAAACACAGTGATTTATCATTCCCCCCCTTCCATTTTGTTTTATACAGTTTCGAGGTCTGCCTGCCCATCTACAGTCTCGGATGCCATGGAGATCAGGCTTGTGGACACGAATGTGCGGAAATTGAATTGCCACAAGTCTTTAAATTTTCGCACTTTTAATCGGTAAAACACCTCGAGGCTTTGAGACTAGGCATTATTTTTATAGGTCCTTAGCACTGTAACTAGAAATCTGAGGATTCATTAAGAGACTTAAGCTTACCTACCTAGGTACACAAGGTAAGTTGGACAAGAGCTACTTGGGTATTTTACAATTCATGCCGTTTTGGCTTCAGCTAAAAAGACGTCGGTCTGTCAACCTGGCTCAGCTTCCGTTCTCTCTTCATATTGGCCAGTGCGAAACGCCACAAAACCTCACAACCACCATCACATACACAGTAATATTCCCTACATCCTGCGCGTGTTTAAAATGCATGCAATGCCGGTAAATTGCAGTCACCTGAAACAGAGCCATCCAGACTTTTTCGATTTCATGATCGGCAGATGATTTACCGTAACGGGCGATCTTAGTCTGTGTTAGCCCTGCGCTCCGCACCGAGCTGAGCTGAATTTTGGTCGCACGGACACGCCAAACCCACCATCTATATAGGTACCGTGGCACGCGGGTGACAAAAAAAGTGATCCTCACAAAAAGGTTACTATTTTGATACCGTGTTTATAATCCAAAACAACGTCTGAAAAACGAGAGAAAATTTGAGCACATAGAAGCAGATCCCAGAATATGTTTTGATTGGGTTTGTTAGTTTTGGTAGCGTTAGGAGCTCAATGTGTAGCCTTGTATATTTGCGGCTGCAGTGTCAAATGGTCAATTAGAGTGGCAGGGCCGGTTTGTGAGAATCACTTTTTTTGTCACCCGCGTGCGTGGTACCTTAGACTACGTACGGAGTACGTGCACGAAATAAGCGAGCGCAACCACCACAAACCGTCTGAAGCCAATGATCTTCCCGGATTTCATGCATCGTCACGAACAGCTAAGGCTAGCGCAGCAAGATTCCAGAGAGATCTGAGCGTAACCCGGTCTGACCACCGGGCGGGGCGGCAAAATGCAACAAAATGCACCTCAGAAAGCATGGGATGAACCATGATGAACCAAGTTGTTCCCCGTGGGGGGAAAGGGGCATCATACTTATCCGCCCTGCCTATATTAACTCTGTGGATCCCATCATATATCCCTTTCGTCATCCGGCGGCCACAGGTCGACTTATTACCACTGCAAATAATTAGAGTGATTCATGGCCTCGGATAACGAAGGACCGCGCCTCAACCGCGTGATATGGATCCTGGCCTCCCTCTCTGGAATGTTATTAGGGCTGCGCCTGTTCAGCAAGCTCTGGCGGCGGCGTCTGTTATGGTGGGACGACTACGTGCTTATTGCGGCCTGGGTAGGTCTCACCTCTGTGCACGACTTCCATTATGGCGGCGGTTTTCTGATGGGTTAATAATTATCTAGAGTGCGTTGGTGGTATCGACATCGCTGCAGTCAGCGGCGACCACCTACGGGCTGGGCAAGCACTATGTCGACATGGACCCCGAAAGCAACCTGCACGTGGCGATCTTGTCGTACTCTGCCGGCTTCGCTGCCATCCTGTCTACCATCTGGAGCAAGACGGCGTTTGCCATGTCATTGCTCCGGATCTCTTCTGAGGGCGGTGGTGGTGATGGCTGGGTGGTGAGGACGTCTCTTTGGGGGATCATCGTGATGGTCAACCTGACGCTGGGCGTGAACGCCACGCTGCAGTGGGTGCAGTGCTGGCCGGTGCAGAAGCTGTGGCATCACGACATGCCGGGCGCGTGCCTCCCGTTTGCCACGATACAGAACTATAATACTTTTGCGGCTGGCAAGTCAACCCCCACCCATCTCTCTCAGACACACAAAAGGAAAAAAAAGTGAAAAGCAGTGCAGTGTAGGTTATTAATTAATGTTTATGGGGATGGTTCGTAGCTTATTCCGGCGCCATGGACATCGTGCTCGCGCTTTTGCCGTGGAAGATCATCTGGACTGTGGCGGTCAACAAGAGAGAGAAGGTGGGCGCGTTGTTGGCTATGAGTATGGGTGTTTTCGCTGGCACCATGGCATTCCTGAAAATAAGGACTCTTTACACCATTGGAAACGACAACAGTGAGTCGACGAATTCCAACATCATGCCGTTACTGAGGTGAATTTACTGATGGAGGACTAAAAGCTACGACGGTGGATTTGTTCATCTTTGGCACCGCAGAACCGGCCACGGCAATCATGGCCGCGTCGATCCCCATGCTCCGGGCCTTGATCCAACTCGAGCCGAGATCCAGACCGCCACGGCTCATCGAGCTCTCTGATAACTGTGGGGCCCTGACAGTAAAGGATAAGAACGCATTTTTATCAAGGGAGGTATCTCATTCGGAAGAGGTATAGGGATTTGGATGTCATGATCTATTAATAGTTGACCGAAAGGTTCGGCGCTACATGCGATTTTTGGGTCGGCGTAAGAAGGCTACGGGGAGAGTTGGGTGACGGCGTATTTTAATTAGTGTCTGTTCGTGATATCCGTTTCTATGGAAAGGGTTGCGTCTTTCTTGGCCGCTCGCTAAGAAACAGAGCAGCCTCGTTCGGACTCCTGCGCGATTTTCCCCAAAGTTGATCGTGTCTAAGCGCGTGTGATTTCTTTGGCGCAGACTCACCAGCGAATCGCAAGATGGTCTGTAAGCGGTAAGCTACGCGGTCGCCAAGACTTAGAGGTGTGGCACACCTTGCAAGCCATAACGTGACCTGATCGTGACTTCCCGCATTCATGGCTGCGTATCCCTGTTTGGTTAAACTGGGTTTCTATGGATGGACTGGAGGGAAAGCCGTGGTGGCTGAGCTTCGGACAACGCCGTGGCATCCGCAGCCTTGTGCTATCTGGCTCTCGAGCTGACGACTACTTTGCGGCTGAACCTGGACCCCGCACGAGGGCTCAAACGCGTGATATTTGGGAACTGAGTTGTCTACCTTGTCTCATAGATGGGCTCAATCAGACCACAGTCGTGCCTTTGTTGATGACCAGTATCGGTGATTAGGTCATTGACGATAGTGTTGGTGTTACAAGCTACCTACCTTAAACCTTTCAGGGTCGACGTCTAATCATGTCAACGTTTCAAGGCTACAAGCCGCTATCGGCGGAATCCAGACAAATCCGCTTGCTGACACTTCTCCCCTCGCTTCTCAGCAGCTCGACGATAAAATGCGAACTGAGCATCGTCAGCCTGAATGATAACCCACAGTACGAAGCGCTTTCCTACGTCTGGGGGACTCCCGCCGATCCCAAGTACATCGAGTTGGATAAGCAGCGGTTTTCCGTAACGCAGAATTTACATGCCGCGCTCCGCGCTCTACGCTGTCGCCGGACCAAGCGCGCGATGTGGGTAGACGCCATCTGCATCAACCAGCTCGACATTCCCGAGCGCAACGCGCAGGTGGCGCAGATGCGCTTCATTTATGAGAGTGCACGCCAAGTCGCCGTCTGGCTGGGCGACGAATCCGCTGGCAGCGGCAAGGCACTTGAATTTGTCAAGACGTTTGCTGCTCAGGTCCGCGCGCATCAATCGTCTCCCGAAGTACTGAAAAGCTGGCTGGTGGACATCTGCGTGGACTGTTCCGGTGCACAGGAAAAAATGTGGGAGGAGCTCGCACTATTGCTCTCCCGCCCGTACTGGACGCGGGCATGGATTTATCAAGAAATGGTGCTTGCATCTCGGGCAACGGTTTACTGCGGCAGAGATCTCGCCCCGTGGGACGACATGGAAAAGGTGGCGTTTGCCATCGACGCGTTTGAGAATTTGCTGCGGACAATCGAGCCGCCAACCAACGACCACCGCGTGGTTGGTGTGTATCACTGGTTTTACAACGCCGCGCTGGCCAGGTCCCAACGGAGGGCCATGGGGTTGATGGGCGCGCCGACCTTGTTGGAAGCGCTGTGCACCCAGCGCCCGGCCAACGCTACCGATCCTCGGGACAAGGTGTATTCTCTGCTTGGCGTCGTCAAGGATAATATCGTCGGACTGGGACAGCTCCCGGCTGGCCCTGACGTGGTCATTGACTACTCCCGAGCAACGGCTAAGGTGTATAAGGACGTGGTGAGACATATTATCAAGAAGACGGGCAGTTTGGATGTACTCTGCGCATGCCAGAACCCGGAACGTGCGAACGGGATACCGTCGTGGGCGCCGGACTGGAGCACGATGCGCACCAACGGGCCGATACAGAATCCCGACCAGTGGGGTCATATCCATTTCGCTAGCAGCCCTATATCTTCTGTGTTCTACATGGAGTCGCCGGACGATGATACACTGTATGTCGGTGGAGTGTACATGGATTCTGTCACCGGAGTGGGCGACGTGCATACGTATGGCTGCGGCTGGGAAGAACTGAAAGAGAACTGGAAAGCGCTCGCGGCGACGTGCGCGTGGACATTTGAGTCTGCGGCCGAGGCTGGACCTTGCTACATCACGACTGAGTCTATCGCTGAAGCGTTCTTCGCCACGGTGACTATGGGTAGAATCGACACGGAAGAAACGGGACACGAGCGCGAAGATCTAATCAAGATTGAACTGGCGCGGATCGAGGCAATTGAGCAGAGAAGGTTCTTTGTCACTGACAAGGGGTTCATGGCACTGGGTCCGGCACAGACACAGCCTGGCGACAGAGTTGTCGTGGTTTGTGGTTCGCACGTGCCATTTGTTTTAAGAAAGGACGGCGACGGTGATGGGTACGCAGTTGTGGGCGAGGCATACGTCCATGGGCTGATGAACGGGGAAGCGTTGGACGAGAAGATGAGTGATGGTTGGGAGGAGAACTTGGGGAGGAGACCTGAGGTTGAGACGTTT